TCTGCTTGTGGACCCCCCCCCCCACCCCCAAAAAAAAATCTGGTGTTGCTGAGTGTGGCATGAAGTCATTTGTAACCCAGAGGCTGTCGAGATTATCTAATAATATCCCAAGTAAAATATAAACGGAAAGGTTTTAGGTCCATTCGTTGCATGCATGTTAGGTTACTCATAGTATGTTTCGACTCAAGCTTGTACTGGAATTCACCCATTGACCTTATGTCTAACAGGAAATAGAGAAGGCAAGATCTTTGTCTGGGAAGTACAAACAAGCCCGCCAACTTTGATTGCAAAGTTAATCTCTATCCATCCCCCCTCCCTAGTTTCTGATCCTCCTCATTAATGTTTTGGATTTATAAAGTGTTTGTGCTTAACTTTTGCAGGCTATCTCATGTTCAATCTAAACAACCAATTAGACAGACTGCCATGTCTTTTGATGGAAGGTTAAGATCCAAAATCACTTTTTTAACTGCTTCTTGTGTATGTTTTTGCAATCTTTGCATTAACCGATTGTCTTTATTCTTCAGCACCATACTTAGCTGCTGTGAAGATGGAACTATATGGCGCTGGGATGTGGTAGCAACAACTTCTTGAGTTTGAATGTACTATTATGAAGGATCCAAAGTATATCTAAACATGCAAGCACACCTGTAAATTCTGCTTAACTTTATCTCTGACCTCTTTCTCGTGAGACCATCTCGATGTGCCAGTGAATTAAACTTGTACTATTAGTGCTGGACATATGGAGGTTGATGATCAGGGAAGATGGGAAGGTTAATAGGATGTCAAACTTGTCTAGTTTTCTTTATGAGTATTATTATTATGACTCCCCTTTTATCTTATTCTTCGTAGTATTTCGATTGACTAAAATACCTTGTAAAAGAAAGGAGGAAAAACAATCACTCTGTATTTGGGAATTTTCTTTTGCAAAAGTTATTTTGAGAATTAGAAAAACTATTGATGATTTTGGCTTGTACGTACTTAGCTTATTAATACTTTGATGTTTACCAAATATGTACATTAGTTAAAAAAAGTGCCTTATAAACCAGTTTGACTAGTTTATAACCATAGCCAAACACCCTCTAAATGTAACTAATTGTATCTCATAAAGGCAGTGGTTGTGCCAAAAATGATGCTCAATTTAGCCAACATAATGATTTTCCATATACTGAAAGCAGAACAGCAAAATACTCCATACAAGGATCAAGGAACGCAGAGGTTGTGCTAAAAATCAATGTTGTTCAATTTGGCCAACATAATGATCTTCCAAAATGATGGCATATACAATACAATATCAAGAAACCCTAACGTAATTGGGTGATGAAATTCGACCATACATCGATACAAAATTTGCTATGCAACTGAGGTTTCTTCTTCTACTACATTTTCTCGCTGTGCTACATGCTCAACATATTTTGGGTAGTACATATGTACAAAAAGAATGGAAAGCCTGTATGATTCTTTAACTATAGCAACATAACATACTACCAAAAATGACTTCCGGAGGAGGACAAACAAATTAAACTTGAGTCCGCAATTGCATCAATAATTTCTGCATGTTCTCCAGTTTCTGACTCAGCTCTTTAACGTCATCGAGAGAAGATGTCGAATTAGCTAGTTCAACACTTAAAGCAGAACATTTGGTCTGTGATTCCTTGATCATGTCCTCAAGAGAAGCTACTGTTGACTCAAGATATAGGTTTCGGCTTCCACCAGTGACATTTGACGATGGACTTAGTCCCATACTACTGCTGCTATTACCTCTGCTGAGTTTTTCAGGAGTAAATATTCTATCAAAGCTTTCACTTCCTGCAAGTATTAATGAGTCCAAATCACTAAATCATCAACCAGCAAACAATGCATTAGCACAATATAATGGTCAAGAGTGGAAAAAGCCAAGAGATGGCACCATATACTAAATGTTCAATGTGTGATATCCTACAAATATGGCTTTGCTCTTTGTTGAAGGGAATATTTTGGAGCCGAGCTCAGCTACCTTAGGGCAGAAACTTCTATTTTAGTAATTAGAAGTGCTACTGATTCAGTAAGCTTGTTTATGTATAGAATCTCGAGACTACAAAATGAAGAAATATATTGTGAAAATGAAGTTCCAAATAAGATGCCAAAATTACCTAAGTTACTTAGTTGACTGATTGCTCCTGCACCAATTTTGCTTTCTAACTTAAGTACCCGCAGAATTCCAGCGGCGATCCGACCCATGGAGTCAACCTCAGACTTGCACAAGAAAGCAAGATACTTGAGCTCAGCCTTAGTCACTACTGCCTCAATCTGCCAAATACACAAACTTCTTTATTACACAAAGCAGGGAGATAGAAATCAAAGGACAAACTTGCAAAATCTTTGTACCGGCTGTTTGACAGAAAATTTCAAATTTTCGACAATCCACTTCCCCAATCCATCATCAATATCGTCTTCGCAATTCACTATGTCTACTTCGATGTTCATACCACCAAATCTCTCAGCAGTCTCTTTAAGAGGCCCTTCTGGACCATCTTGCCTGATACTATGTGGAGAACGTGGTTTTAAGATCTGCAGACCTTCCATACCAACCTGCAGCAGCTCCTAGTTAGGTTACTTGTCTTAAAAATCTTCATGAAGAGAAAAACGGTTACAAGTGACCAAAAATGACAATAACTACTACGCCTCAATCCCAATCAAGTTGGGATCGACTATATGAATACTGAACATGTTAGTGCATAGTTATCTGTTTTAAGCTATAAAGATAGGTGGAAAAACTACAAAACAATCATTGCCATGTTTCTTGTCTAGACATTGTTTTAAAGCTACAGTCGGAAAAAAACCCATATGCAAGATATAAAGTATTTTCTAACATGAGTCAAGTTTATCGTTTCCACCAAGGCAAATATATTGCACAGTAAGAATAAAGTGCTTACAGTAATCAACTCGAGGGGGTATCTTTTTTTGCCAGGAGATTTTCCGCTGTCATTTGTTACATGCTTAGAACTGCTTGCTTTGACACAAATGTTCTGGAAAGTTGTGTGCCAACACCGCTCTTCTCTGACAGAATCTTCATGATCACAGAACCACCACCTTTCTGCTTCTTCTTGTGCACCTTCCAGAGCAAACAACCAATCTTTGAATTCTATGGATATGTCCACGTCATCAGGTGTTTCCAACTGTAATCTACCAGTGTCCTTTCCATCTAAAAAGAAGGAAAACCAGAAAGAAATGAGAAGACCATTGATCAAGATCACAAGCAAAGTTAATCCCTGAAATCATAGATGGCAAAGAAAATGAATACTCTCTCCATCTCGAAATGCCTGTGCCTAATTTCCCTTTTAAGTTGTTACAAAATGCAGCCCATTTTCCTTAAAGGGTAAGTTTTAACACGTTCAAAATAAGACAGCTTTGCAGACCATCTATCCTCTTTTTTACATCATTTTATTGTCTAATTATTCTTTTCAGCGAAAAAGGCATACTGTGGCTCCACTATATTTACTCACAACTATTAAACGGCCCATATATTCAACTATTCTCTTAGCGAAAGTGCCAAAGAAAAAGTGCACAACCAAAAAAGGATGGCAGAAGTATATAGCATCATCATAAATTGAAGAGTCTAACCATCTTGATGTTCATCAAGGGTAAGAGGTGTTGCTTTCAAAAGTTTAGACAAAGGCCCAGCAGACAGATGCTTCAATCCTTTAGTAAGCCCTTCCCCAGGACCACCATCTGGCCCAAGAATTCCAAACTTATGAAGTAACGCTTCTGTGTAATTCATTCCTCCCCCAAGGCGGACGCCAGCAATACAAGCTGAAACATTTAGACTGTGACACTCCATGTCCTGTGTTTTATAAGGGATCACCTGTACCATTTTTATGTCCAAGAAGGGAACTGAAACAAAATTGCCATTTGATTGATAGATCTTCCTGTTTTGCACCCAAAAGACAGATCTAAGTTGACGTCCATTCTCCACAAATTGGCCATTTTGGTTTGAAGTCCACGCCAAGCTGTCCTCACGTGGCAAGCTACTCAGAGTGTCTGCACAATCAACTTCAACACCTTCCCAAAGGAAACTCGACGAAATGGCTATAGCACCCCCCAAGGTTCTATGAGTAACTTTGATGGACAGCCCTTTGCCTATAAATTGAACCAACGGCATTCCTGAAATGTCAGCGGCAGAAGATTCCAAAAATCTTAGGTGCAGATCATTTACTGATAAACATACAGCAGCATCACCGGGAACCTTTTTGCTTAATGATCGACCTAAAGATTTATGACTTACTTCCTCCTGCGAATTGAACCTCCCAGCAACCGCTATCTTTTCGCTTACTCTCCCAAAATATGTGTAAAAATCTAGGACAAAAAATAATTGTTCAACTGAAGTGTTGGACAAATACTGCTGACAGGCAACTCCCACTCTAACAATTCCTCCCGGAGGTGGGACATTTGTTAAAGGGCCTCCATCTGCAGTAGCCATTGCTACTTCAAGGCAAGCACCTTTCAGCTCAACACATCTCCATGAATTTGAAGGTAATGCAAGAGAATTTTGGAGTCCAGTTGAATCGTTACATGTTTGTAGAGAGAGACTAATGACTGAAGCACCAGCAGTCCATTTCTTCTGGCTACCATCAATTGGTTGATCTTCCCACAGACTGAAGCATGCCGGATCCTTATCGAGGTTTAGTAGCCCCAGCTTAAGAGTAGGTGACTCAGAAAGGATGAAATCTTCTATATGAAGGCTTGCCCCACCAAACAAACTATGACAAACATCATCTCCACCTGGAACAGTATGATTTCCTGTTCCCGTGTCTAACGGGACAATGATATCTAACCCCTTGAGATTGAATGTGAGGGAGTTTATCGAGAAATCTGATAGAACTACACCGCCAGGATTAACTACAATCCCATCAGCTAAAAAGGAACATATCCTCAAACATGATTCTTCCTGAAGATGAATCTGGCAAACAAACAAGAAGAGCAGCATAGTTCATCATCAGATAGCCAAAAGAAAAAGACAATATGAGGTTGTATCTAGTAGTACATGAATACCATAAGGGGCTGGCAATTGATAACTGTGGTAGAAGCAAAAATTGGTGGAGATGGAGAAGGCTTGAGCTGAAGAGAATGAAGAGAGATCAGGGGGACCCCAGCTCTGAAGTTCCCCTGTTGGTCCCCTAGAGGATAAATGGGAGGACAAAAATCTTTACCTGAATTAAGAAAAATGAGAAATACATTCAATTTCAACCATAAATTCTAGATTAAGCAATCTATCGACAGAACAAATGCCCCTCAAAATTGATGTTAGTACCAAAGTCTGGAATGTTCAAAACATCATCAGAATCTGTCAACTCAGATGGCTGCACCAAGGTGCACGGAGGGCGTGAAAATGTATCCCTGCATTTAAATCATTTCGTGCACTTAGAACGTGCAACAGAAACTCAACTCTCAAATTCAGCAAAAGAGTTTTTCAGGGAGGACTTTGTATCAACTTAATCAGATTGTTATCAAGTAACGAACCCTATGAGACTAAATTAGAGTTTACTTTTGCCGACATAAGTTGTTTTTGAGATCTTTGGCTCCATATTCCTCTTGCCAGAAGGGCAAAGTAAGAA